ACGGCGTGGGAAATCGACGCCGACCTTGTGCGAGGAGGAACCTAACAGAGAGGAGGAGGAGGGGGACCTTGTGTGAGCTCTTCCAGGCAAGTTCTGGGTGCTTGTGGAGTGTCGTGGTGACGTTGAGTCCCTGGGTGAAGGGGTGAAGGAGTGGGTGTGTGTGTGAGAGCGTCATGAGGAGTGGGAAAGCGCGGTGGATTTTGAAAAGGCTGGGAGGGGTAGGGGGCAGTGGGAAAAGGGCGTGAAGGCACAGCGAAGCTTCTAGTGGGTCTGTACCGCCGAGGCGATTTGGTATGTGTTGGGGTTTCCATGGGCGAATGACACCCTCTCTTTCGTATTTCACTTGGCGTGTGTCAATTCTCCACCAAAGACACTAGTTACTGATTGTCACTGCAAGGGCACTGTTCTATCCGGAATTAACAAAGCATGCACTAGTCCCCAGCGTGACTGACCATGCCTAGGGTGCCACGATGTGTCAAGTCTCCAGATTGGATTTTTTCCCTGCTATTGTGTCGATTGGGACCCTTTGGTAATGTAGTTTTGGAAGGTATTGTGTCTCTCTGTTTTCTTTTTAAGAGATAAGAGGCAGACAACAGGGAAAACGCAGTGATCGGAAAATTTGTAGAATACATGTACATCTCAAAACCCATCAAATTGGATATCAGTGGACTCCTACTGATATCTGATATTCTGATATAAGTTGAATAGTCTGTGAAACCTATAGATTAACCCAATATTTATGGTTGAAAGCTCCCTGAATTTGTACAATAACTTTGGACTGAGTGATGATGTTTACCTCATGGAGCCACTATCTGTAGAATCTTAACATCATATATATCTTTCTGGGCTCGATCTTGCTGTCCGGATTTGGAGGTTTTGCATTCGGTGCAGGGATTTGGAGGTGTGGCGTTCATGGGGGCCGTAACCCACCAAAAGAGGGTTTCAGGGAATGACTCCCAATATTGGCAAGAATGACGAATATCACATAATTTAACCAAGCAATGTTTCTTGAAGGTCGAGAAAATTTTACGCATACATAAAAGTCATTGTAATTTTTCAAAAACACAGCACTATGACATTAAGGGCAAGAGGGATCTGCTATATGTATTTTAGATAGATAGATCTTTTACTGGTTCTTTATTTGATGATGACTCTCCTATTGTATCATCTATGTATATCCCCCATTATTAGTGTATATTGTTTTCTGAAACCGATATAAGAGGCACATGCTATGATATCAGAATATGCTTTTAAGTACCATAAATAGTCAAACTTCATGAATGTGAAAAACAAGCAACATGATACAGACCTTGGTTGTGTTTGGCCTGTCGCTTTAACATCTGAGAACGGCAAAGCCATGTCAATCCCCCAGCGACTAAAAAGGAATTATTTTTAAGTTTTAGAAATATGAGTAATTGGAATAACTAAATTTTATGTACCAGAAAATATTTATTTCTTTGCAATATCTTATGTTTTAGTAAAAATGAGAAATTACTATGAATGTGCAAATAAAATATACATGATATATATACTTTTTTATATGAAATGATAAGGTAATTCTTTACAATAGGGAAGCACTCACCAGAGACTAAGTCTCCAACTCCATATCACAAAATGTATTCAATAATTTAAGTTGTCATAACTGGGCGCGTCATTCGTGCTTTACCCGAGGCGAGGTTTGATGGGGAAACATTATCTCCACCTTGGTATGCATGGCAAGATTGAGCTGAAACTCAGGAGCACCAAATCGGACTTAGGCTGTGAGTGGCACTTTCCATGATTTTTTCCTTTATTTTTGGCATTACCGTTCATGTCTGCAGACTATTCCTAGCACTCTTTTTCCTCCACAAGAATATGTTCTTCAATTTGCCCCAACTTAGTGCTTCCATACCATAAATATTAACCAATGATAAAATATTTATTTAGATGTATTTATAACTTACTTTCCCAATGTATGAATAGTAAAAAAAGGATGAAATATTTATAACTCTGTGATATAAAATAGTTAGCTGCATGGAAGGGGAATGTGGGAAGATGAAAAGATCTAGGGTATGCCTGGATGAGATATGCCATACAGCACCAGAATTACTACTTCACCTCTACTCGATTTCATTCACACAAAAATAAAAGATGGAAAAACAGACATGTCGTTGCCATCAACTCTGGCAGAGAAGAATCTTCAAGGGAGGTGATATATTAGATGTAGGAAAAATTAAAATGGCTACACAGTACTAGACATGTTTATGGAGGATATGCGAGTCTCTTAAAATGAAAAGGATTTCCCCCCCCATTTTTGAATGCCTATATTTCTAATTTGATTAGCTTTATCCAGGTGTTAATAGACTCTGTAGGTAGTCCATAACTCAGTGCAGTAATGAAAGCAATAAGTAACATTTTGTTATTTGTGCAATTTTAAATTTCTTTTGTAATATTAGATTTTCTGTTTATTCATCTTGCCTTGCCAGTCACAACAGGCAGGAATAGGATGCTGAGTGTGGAA